ATTTCCTTTTCCTTGACCACCGGCTACGACAATGCCTTGTTTTGCACGTTCTTCCCATTTCATTACACGATTATTTCCCCAATCAGACACATAAACTGAATGATCTCGATCGACAAATACGTAGTGGGGATTAGAGAGTTGATCGAGACGATTTCCTTTTCCGTTACCACCTGCAACTACTGTTCCTTTAGTGTCACCAATTTTATATCGTCTCACTTCATGTTTTTCATAGTCAACGACATAGAGAGAACCATTGTCGTCCATTGTCAAACCGAAGCAAGCGATATTCGAAATAATTGTTTCTCCACGAGTACCATTTCGACGAGGCCATCGAACTACTCTTTTACTCCTAACATCGGAGATGATGAGACTATCGGTCTCTTTGTCGATAATCACATCTACTGGGCAGTGTAACTGATGAGCTCCATTACCTGATCCATTTTCACCAGCAACTACTTTTCCATTCGTTGCACCAGATTTCCATTCCACAATACGGTGATTTGCACAATCAGCGATATAAATCGTTTGATCATCGTCGACGTACAAACCCCATGGGTTATGGAGTTGATTGGTTCCACTGCCCCATCCATTTCCTCCAGCAACAGTTATACCATTCGTTGACCATGTTGCATTCGGATGAATATCAATGGAACTTGCACGTAGTGGTACTAAAATGAAACAAAAGTATGAAGTAAAAATAAACATCAATGTCATTAAAATGACTCATTCTCATTTGTTTTAAACAGTATTGAACTGCTCTCAATTACAAAGCTTTTTACTTATGAACTTGTTTAGAATCTGGCTTTTCTCAATGTTGAAAACAAATATTGTTGACGTTTTCAAATATTTTGAAACTAACTAACATTTAACTGGTAATGTGAAAAATTGTGATTAACTCGAATTTTATCGTAAATGAAATTTTCTTTTATATCGAATTTTTTCAACATATTCACTGATTTCGTTAGTTCGAGTTTGAAATATATTTAAAAATCATTTCATTTTTTATTGTTTGAATTTTGCAATAAAAGGAGATATAATAGAATTTGAACGTGAGGAAAAACAATTTTGTTATCAGTTGATAGGAAACGGTGTATGATTTATGTTCGTCACACATTTATGAGCGAAATGAGACAAAATAAATTTGCAACTTTTATATGAATTTGTTAAAAACATCTTGCTAGATAATAACGATAGTTAATTATACTTAACTACCATGCATAAGACGTTTTTGACTGATTCATATAAAAAAATTACAAATTTTTTGTGTAAGTAAACCCCCCTCATAATAAAAGACCCCCCCCCATATTAGAAGACCCCTCCGGAGGAGTCACTTCATAGAAATTTATTTTTTTCACCAGCAAAAATTTACAAAATTTACAAAAGTTCCCTGGACCATAATAGAAGACCCGGGGTCTTTTATTGTAGGGGGGGGAGGGTTTAGTTTTCTTTCTTATTCCATTTACGAATGTGTGACAAATATAAATCATACATCATTCGAAAGTATTTTATGCCATTAATTTTGCATCATACTTATTATTGAGTAATTTATTCCTGAATCTCAAACAAACAAGTAGTTTGTAGAAAGGCTAATCGAAGTGCTAAATAAGATAAGTTTAGATAAAATAATACGTAAGTTCGAATTTTAGTCGATGGAAAGCACTCAAAAACAAATCTTTCCCAAGTTCAAGAATATTTGAAGAATCTGTCATGTTTATTATTCTACATTGTAGGACAAACAATGATCTATATACGAATCAATCAAATCTTTTATTCTGAATTTATTTCTAATGTATTACAAATTTTCAACTTAATAGGGTATGCCCATGGAAAATTTTTTTGTGAAAAACCGCTCGAAACCGCGATTTCACAAACTGCGGTAATCAACGGTTTTCGAAACCGCGAAAGTCAGACCTTTTATGCGTTTTTTCAAAACCGTCAAGAACCGCGGTAATTTCAAACCGCGGTTTTCATCGGTATTCAAATCCGCATAAAAGGTCTGACTTTCACGGTTTATTTCAACGGTAATGATCGCGGTGTACAAATACTGCAGTTTTTGACGGTTTTAAAAAACCGCATAAAAGGTCTGACTTTCGCGGTTTTCTGAACCGCTGGAAACCGCGGTTTATTGAACCGCTATATACCGCGGTTTTCATAGCCACATCTGACACAGGTATGATCAGACTCACCTGAACTTTCGAAACCGTTCAGGTGAGCCACCCTTCGAGGAGCATTGTAGTGAACTTTTAGAAGTTCCATTACCACAAAGTTACATTGTAGTGAGAGATAGAATAAGAAAACTTATTTAAAAGTTTCATGAAAATAGCAGGGCACGGCATCCTCTTCGTCCTTACACATTTCATTACGATGGTATAAGCACCAGACATAGCGCGGTTCTTCAGCTGAAAACCGCGGTTATCAATAACGCGATTATTCGGCGGCATACCGCGGTTTCTAAGACCGCTGAATACCGAGGTATTTTTCACCGCGGTTACTAATGACTATACCGCGATTTTTGAAACCGCTCAATACAGTGTTATTTACTACCACAATTTCTGATGGCTGTACCGCGGTTTTTGAAACCGCTTAATACCGTGCTATTTATCACCGCAATTACTGATTTCTATACCGCGGTTTTCGAAATCGCTCAATACCGTGGTATTTGCTACCGCGGTTACTGATGGCTATACCACGGTTTTTGAAACCGCTCAATATCGCGGTATTTGCCACCGAGGTTACTAATGACTATACCGCGGTTTTTGAAACTACTCAACACCGCGGTATTTGCCACCACGGTTAGTAATGACTATATCGCGGTTTTTGAAACCGCTCAATTTCGCGGTATTTGCCACCGCGGTTACTAAGGACTATACCGCGATTTTAAAAGCCGTTGAATACCGGATTATGCAATACCGCGGTTTCCAATAACTATATCGCAATTTTTTAGACCGTTGAATACGCCGGTATTTAGAACCGCGGTCCTGAATACGAGCAACGCGGTTTCAGAAAACCGCGGTTCGAAAAAACCACCTTCAACCGCGGTTCCCTCTAGTAAAACCGCGGTTTTGAGCGGTTTTTTGAAAAAAAATTTTCCATGGGTGGGACACGGTTTTTTAAACAATAGTAGTTTCGATCACGGATCGATTTCGAACTTTCTAAATTTAAGTATTTTCGCTTCTTTACAAGACAATACGAATCTCCTATCGAAACATTGATCTAAAATCTTTGCAAGTTTGTGTTTTGTAGGTTACTCAATAGGTGTAAATTTTTGGGGATTCTCACAAAAAAACGATCGTAAAAGATTTCATCATGATTTTAGCTATTCTCAATAGCAATAAGTGTGAAGATTTCTTCCCTTCAAATTTTTATTGTATCGCATCCTGAACTGGTTAAATCCTAGAAGAAAGTTTTTTTTGTTGGTCTAGAATTTTCTAAAGATTTATATTGATACTAACTTGAGCGTTAGACTAGAAGCAATACTTCTATAATTATATCTTGAATGGACAGTTACAGAATCGATGAAGTTAATAAAAAATGTCATGCAGTTTTATAAGCTCCCTAAAAATAATTTAAATAATTTCATCCTTCTTAATTTATCTATGAAGAATCTAGCTATAATTGAAATCTTGATTAAATTTAATAGTATTTAATCAATTTTCATTTTTATTACATGTAATGTCATGTATTTTTAATATGTTTAATGTCTCAGTGCAATTGGAAGAAAGTACATTTTAGTATTATTTCTTTTCTTGGATCGACAATAAACAAATACATGTAAAACGGTATGAGACCTTTAATTATGTGTCAAACAACTCGAAGATGAGAGTCAGAAACAAAACAATACTTTCTGCTTTTTAAGTCAAAGAGATTGTGAGACATAAAATTCGAGTAGATAATTTTATTTTCTACTTATAGATGATGACATAGAGCTATATGAAATGCTTATTAACACTATAGATTTATTTCAATTAAATCAAACTTCTCAAATATCTCTTATACACATGGAAATAATCAGTCTGACCGGCTACTTTGCTTCGTTTTTTTGCACATAAACTTCAGTCTTATTTTAGAACAAGTACAGTCAACATTTGCTCTATATTTGATATTATATAAAATTCTATTCATTATTTTTCATTTTTCTATATTAATAATATAAATAACAATTAGTTTTAATTTTCATTTTTCTATGTTGGTAATATATATAACAGTTAGTTTTATTGCTTTTATTTTCTATATCAATAATACAAGAATCTTAATTTTCATTTCTTGTTTTTCTAAATTGGCAGTTTAGAAAATTTTATTTATTATTTTTGATTTTTTATATGGATAATATAGAAAATCTTATTTTTGAATTCTTATTGATTTTAATTGATAATATAAATATCAGTTAGTTTTAATTCTTATTTTTCTATATTATTGATATAGAAAAATACAAAATAAAAACTAAGATTTTCTATGTCAATAATATACAAAAAATAGAGAATAAAACAAATTGTTATCTTTGTTACCAATGTAGAAAAATAAAAAATAACATTCTCCATATGACCAATGCAAAAAATAAGAAATTAAAATCAGCATTTTCTAAATTATTATTATTACTATAGACAAATAGGACATAAAACTAGCTGTTTCTATATCATCAATATAGAAAATTAAAAAAAATAGGATTTACTATTTTATCACTACAGAAAAATGAGGAATACAAGTAACCGTTTTGTACTCTATTAATATAGAAAGGTGAAAAATGAAAATAACCGTTTTCTACACTGTTAGTATAGAAAAAGAAGAAAAAAACTGACGTAAACTATTCGAGTCTTTTTCTCAGGTACTGTTCTTCATCGGAAAGCTGATGGAATCAACTATTCTCGAATAAGGGAAAGAAACAGGACAGGCCATACACGATCAGATACTAACAGGCAAGATCTACATTATGTACTGTGTATGTTTCTTTTTTTGGATCTTATATGATCTGTTAAGATCTGACAAGAAGGATCCAGTCTGTCCAAATCAGTGTCTTAATCATTGAGTCTTGTAAGATTCTTTGCTGACACCGCACAATCAAAATTTGAGAACATCTTGAAAAAAAATGAACATATAAGATATTGTCCGCTATTGTAACAAGATCATAGAAAAAACCTTACCAGGGTAAGACCTTATTGGATCTTGCAGGATCTAACATCTATTTTTTCGGGGTGGGTGTGAGTGTGGCTATAGATGAATCATTTACCCACCCATCATGGTAAGAATTTGAACATATAATTTCACCAATATAAAATCGGAAAATCTAATAGAAAGTTGCTTTTCCATAAAGGTCATAAAAAACAGATCAGTTGTTAATTATGAATTGATTTGGAAATTCGCCAATAATAGTAAAACTGTATTCTGACTTTAGATAGCCTATTATCCAAAAATATGCAGCACTACTTACAAAAAACCAAAAATCTCGCTTTCAATTTTGCAACTTATGTCCACATGGTTTCCCACTATAGACAAGCCAGAGATGGAACCGGTCCACTTTTTTTCAGACCGGTACCGGTGTGGGTCTAGAGAAAGGTAGACCGGACCGGACCGGACCGGCCGGTCTACCGGTCCATACCGGTCTACCGGTCCATACCGGTCTACCGGTCCATACCGGTCTACCGGTCCATACCGGTCTACCGGTCCATACCGGTCTACCGGTCTAGGGGGAAACCGCTGATTTTTTTGAT